GGTCGGAAAAAACGAAGAAAGCAGCCATACGGGGCCCCCAGCAACGCCTGTGAGTAGGAGGCAAGAGGTAAAGGCTTGTGGAGGAGTGGAGATCACACGACTGACCTCGCGCGAGATGCCCTGCTGCTTAGCTTCTCACTATGGGTAACGATGTCCTCTCGTGGGATGAAACCGAGGAAACGGGGCTGCGCTTGTGTGCAGAGCATTTCATGTGAGAGAAAGAAGAAAAGTATTTTTTTCAAATTTTTCTGCTTCGTCCCCCGTATGTTCACCCCGCGTTGTCCCTTGAAAGCGAGCCGAGCTTCTGCGCGGTAGGTTGGCCTAGATGCGAGATAGTTTCTGGTGGCACCTATCTATAGCCTCAGTCGTTCTCTGTGGCATGTTTGCAGGCGTTCTTCTCTATGCTGGTCTCACAAACACGCACGCGCGCAATCCTATGTACTTCGTATCCCTGAACGCTGCAAAGAGACTAGGAGCTCAGTGTTTTGCAGATGCTGCCGTACTGCTGGTGTCCGTGGTCCACCTCCCCGTCCTTCCGCCAGAGTTGTTGCTGTAAGCAGAGCCCTTCGTGGTCTCTATACCACCGCTGTACACCGGTTAGCCATCAATAAGTGCGCGGCTTACGGTAGAAGTGCCACCTACACATAACCGTTTCGTGAAAGCCAAGCCCAAGCAGTGTTTAGGGTTAGGGTTAGCCCCGGTGGTCTAGTGGGTAACCTCGCAGCCTGCTAAGGGCCAGGTCAAGGGTTCGAGTCCCGGCAGAGAGAGTTTTTTTCTCACCAAATAAATCCTGGTCTAGGATGAAAGCGACGCGCTGCAAAGCTCGTTTGTTAGTAAACCATAATCGACTTCGTAAGTCGCGAGGGAAGGGATTGCTGTACCCTTCTCGCGATAAAAAGACCTCAGGCATGAACCACAGGAGGGGGTCCAACCCCCCCCTCCTATGTGACCCCGGTTGGGTCGTCTAGCTAGTAGAAGTGGAGGATAGGGGCCAGAGGGGCAGACGACAGAGTCCAATGATGGGAGAAAAAAAAAAAAAGTGTGGTGGGCCCTGCTTCTTTTTTTTTTCGTTTTTCCAGTACCCCTCGGTTCAGGGCAGATCGCTGTTGCCGGCATACAGATGGCGCCCGCACTTAAGAACCTCTTGTTCCGGCCGAGGCTGGGGTTCTTATTTTGCTTATTATCCTCTTGTGGGCTACAAATGGCCGCTATATAGGTTTTAGTGTCGGGTTTTTAACCGAGCTCACAAATGGTGCTCAAGTTCTTAGCTTCTGAGTTTGTGCGAGTCTCAATATCCTAACTGCTACCAGTTTGTAAGTGCGGGCGCTATGTGTAGCGGCTCTTAGTCGAGGTGCGCGGTGCCGTGCGATTTCGTTGTCGCCGGGCAAGCCACGTCGCTAAACAGGGGTTGGTTAACCAGGCCCACCATTGCTGAAAGTCTGTATACGGAAACACTTGGGACGCTGCACGGTGGTGATGTGGTTTGTTCATCGAACGATGTCTACAAGCAGTAGTCTTTGACAAGCCCTTGGTGCTGTTGCACATTGGTGCTTACGTGTTCGTCGAACAATGGCGTGCCATTGGCAAGGCAGCACGGCAGTAGATGCCGTCGGGAGCAGCAGTGTCGAACGTGCTCCCAGCAGCACACACACACGCTTCCTCTTTGTGTACACCGCTACATAACGCCGGGCTCTAACGTCGGGTGCGCGCGTCTGGCCATTCTTCATGTGTGTTTGCCTGGCTGCAACAAGGTCGGGTGTTTCTCCGCCGACAGACGTGACAGCATGCTGCTGGGATACCAACTCCCCAGGCATGGTGGGCCTGTGCGATTCCGAAGGATCATTCATACTCGCCAAGCACGAACCAGGTATATTATGTATGTTGTTGCGGATGCCACTGCAATGCTTGATTTGAAACCGGCGTAGATGGCGGAGTTCAGCGAACGCTTGCGTTTCGCCAACGCTGGCTGTCGCTGTTTCAAGTGCTGCATTTCGATGTATGCAGCAGATCCCCAACATCTGGCATATTTTTGAGCCAAGTCCCGAGTGATCATACCCCCATGAAACTTGATACACTCAGATGACTACTTTCATCCCGCCGTCCCACGGGCTGTAGGTTTTTCTTTGCACAAAAGTATCCTCAACGCGGGGAAGTGGCCTTTTCAAAACGTTCACGGGACGGGGAAATCATCCCCGAGGTCATCGGAGGCGTGTTGTGCTTCAAGAGACGGTCTGTCTTTTTTTTGCAGGGGTCGGTGACATGTGTTTGCATTCCCTCATCATAACATACTTCTTGCATTGCTACGATGCAAACAAAGAACGTGAGGACCTCTCTGTGACCGTGTTCAGCTAAGAGAGCAAGACGGCCAACCTCCGCTGCCCTTCCCCTTTCAGACGCAGCGACCCCGATAACCAGCTACGCGGTCTACTTCAACACCCTCCCGGTGCACCTCTGGGGGGGTCCGCGGACGGGAAACGGCGGCGGCGGCGGCGGCGGCAGCGACCGGACCCCGCGCCCCCCTCCCTCCGCCCGGGCGCGCCGAGTGCCGCACGCCTGGTCCCAGGTGTCCTTCGTCCCCGGCCACCCGGGGGACGTAGTCTTCGTTCAGGGCAGGTCTTGCCGGGTGCTTTGGGCGAGGCTGCCAGAGGCGGGAGGCAGGAAGGCGGCTGCGGCGTTGACGTCGCGCTCGGGCTCAGCGGAGGCGGCGCCGGGGGGGCGGCGGTTTGGCCTGGTGGATGGCTCCCGGGTGGTGGCGTTGGATGGGCACCGGGCGCAGGCAAGAGGTTGGGCACACTGAATCGCCCCTCCCCCCCGGTGTTCGCCCCCCCCTGTGTATGCCATCGGGGTTGGGTTTTCGTTGCTTAGCAACGTTGTAAAACAAGCCGCCGCCCCCCGGTGTTTGCCATCGGGCTTGGGTTTTCGTCGCTTGGCAACGACGTTGTAAAACAAGCCCCCCCCTCGGTGTTTGCCATCGGGATTGGGTTTTCGTGGCTTGGCAACGACATTGTAAAACAAGCCAATTCACTTCGTGAACTCAGCAACCAGGTTACCGTTTTTTTATTTACCTCTGTTTTTTTTTCGGCGGTAACCATCGTGGTGGTCGAGTAGACCATGTTGTGCGGGGTCGAGAACCCTCACTCCGCGCAAGGGGGATGATCGCACCACGTTGTGTTAAATTGGTCAAGCACCCTCGAGGCAGTTACACATTGCTAACAACTGTCTTTGGAAGTGAAGTACCAGAAAAGAAAGTAAGTCATACGCAGCTGTCATCCGTATGCAAGGAAGTAAGCACAAGATGCCGAACACCCTTAGCAGGATGCAGCGCACCC